AAAAAAAAAGAATTGCACCGCTTACTTGAAAAATGACAAGCCAATCAATTTTTGTTTGACCACGATTTTCTTAAATAAAATTTACTATAATTGAGATTAGTACATAATAAATATGTAAAACTATACTTAGAAAGGATTTAAAAGTTTAGTGTTAGAATTCATAAAATTAATCCATCTCCTTAATTTATGAGAAATCCTTTTTCTTTAATCTCTCCCGAAAATAATATCATGTTTTTACTTAAAAATAACTTAACTCTAAAATTTTATTTCACATGATTTATAGTCGCACAACATAATTTCCTTCTGTTTTTTTGTTTTTAATTAAAACAAATAAAAGAAACCCGAGAAAGGTGAATGGCCAAAACTCACCAACAAGGGTTGTGGTGGAGTGGTAAGTACTCCTTCATCCTTAACCAGCAGAGGTCTCGAGTTCAAGCCCCTGGTATGGAGTCGCCTTTGTTAGGGAGCGCTTTATCCCAATGTGGGACTTTCCGTCGCGAATCCGAAATAGTCGGGCCCCAATGTGGGTACCGGATATCGGGCGAGCAATAAAAAATTAAAAAAAGGGCCAAAATTCAAAAGCTTCAATTTAGTAGTAGTCCATAGTACATTTTGTTTCTCCCTCCGGTTTGGAGCTCCCACATGTCACTGCGGCACTAAGGAATTTCAAACCCCTGCAACCACTTGGCCATGGCTCTTGCCTTTTCCACCTCTACTCTTCTTCTTCTTTTACTCTTTATTACTACTATTATCTTTCCTTAACCGTCACCGCTACTAGAAGGAAAAAAGCCCAACTCATCACCTTTCTCTGGCTTTTCTCTGAAGCTCTTCTCCTAAAAGCTACAATCTTTTTGCTATTTTCAGGTCAGTTACTGAGTTACGTACTTACTTTTTCCCCACTCCCTGAATTCTGCCTTCTTTTTTGGGTTCTTTTTTGTTGCTTGTTTCCATTTCCAACCCTAAACTTATTTGTGTGTATGATCACTTAATGTTTGGTCAATGCTGCTTCAATGTTGTATGTTTATGTTCTTGTATATGGTTTATCTTTAAAAATTAGCATTACCCATTTGGTTTCTCACGTGGGTTTTAGCTTCATTGTTGTTTTTCATTGAAAAAAAATCCTGTTCTTTGTATCTGATATTCTGTTGGCAGCTTTCTGGAATTAAGGTTAGTTAATCTTTGAAATTAAGCAAAACCCTCTTTGTGCTTACTTGAGTTTTGTGCTTTGATGTTTTTTTTTTCCGTTGTTTAGATGGTTGTCAGGAGCTAATCGTTGGAAAAACCTGTTATTTTTATCTGATTTTTTTTCTCTGATAACCAAGAAACCACGACGGCCAGCGGTGCAATGTTTTAAACTCCGGTGGATAATGGGGGTCCGCCCCTTTACCCTTCTCCACTTTAAACCAGGCCTGTGATATGCGCCTAACCCAAACATTACAGGTTGAGCTCTTACCACTAAACCCCTGGGGGCTGGAAATACCTGCTCTTTGTATCTGGTGTTTTTAGTTACATACATTTCTGTTTGTTTTAATAGGTGCGATGTTTTGTCACTTTTTGATCGGGTCCTAAATTGTGAAAGAATTTAATGGGATTATGCTTGCTCATGACTCTTTAGCCCGAAATGATTGTTTTTGTTTCTTAAAAAAAATATTGTTTATGTTTCTGGATGAGGGTGTTTAGGACCTGTGGTTGTTTTCGATTAATCCAAACTGTTTGTCCTCTGTGTAAATCAGGATGGCTGTAGATAATCATGTATTTGTTGCGTGGGAAGAGCGGGTTATTTCTCAAGAGAAGGGCCATCGTGTTGTGCACTACTACTTGAAGGGTTTCTCGGGGGAGTCACTCCTTGCTGTGGTGGGTACTGAAAGAAGTATAAGGCACATAACATATGTTGTCTCAGAGGATTATTTGGATGCTTTTGGGCATACAAGAACTATAAATTCTGGAACAAAATGGCGTACAAGACGAGAGGTAGTGGAATGGCTGACGTTTTTGGTATCAAAGCGTCGCCAATCATCACCTATTTCAAGTATGTATAATCATGTTGCGGTCTAAGATTTCAGTTACATGAGATTTGCAGTATTTATTGGCATAAATGTACATTGAATTGCTCTAGTTTCTGGTATTTAGCATTTTTTTCGGAAAATGTAGACATCAGATTATTGGTTGCTGGTTACACCTGATCAATGCAGAGAAGGCAGATGTTTTATATCATGTTTAAAAGCAAAAAGTTCTGCGAATGTCTAAACTATCTCAATGATGGGTTAATTTCAGTCTCACTTCTTTTGGTTTGCTACAGTGCTTAGCAAATTAATTCGTAGATGAAAAATCGTTTTTTGATGAATTGTAGATGAAATATCTTATGCTTTGACAGGAAAGAAACTGAATTATGTCTCAATTATTTTTTCCATGAAGAAGCCTCCTCCCGGGGGTTTTTGGGGAGGGAGCAGAGAGAGATGGTTGAACAGTATTTCTGGTTCCTTTTTTAATTTTGGGATTTTTGTTCTGGACTTCAGTTTTCCAGGCACAAACTGAATTTTCAACTTACTTGTGTTTCTAGATTTAACCTAGAGTGGTGGAGTGATGGTAGTTCTTTGTATCCCGGGGGCGGATGATCCTTGTTTGAAGAATAAATGGGAACGTATCTTCCTATGTAACTACCTCACTATGCTTTGCTTTGCAAGGAAAGTATACTTTGTGCTCCTTGTTCTGACCACAGTCGCCTATGTGTTGTTGTACTTCCAAATGTGCAGCACACAAGTTTGTGGTTTAGTATAATACTTTGAGAATGTGGCTTTTCTTCGGCTGATTTGAACTTTACCAAGTTGTGGTGATAATAGGGGAAATAATTTGATAAATACAGTTACACCCGTCCAGCAACATGATGGGTCATTCGATCCTACAGCCTAAAGTACAACGTGATTTAAACTTCAACTCTCCCATTTAATTGTTGAAGCACATAAGTTAATATAGAACAATAGTTATAACCACTCATGTGACGTCTTAACACTAGCTACCAGTTGAGTTAGCGAGCACGAAAGGAAACCTCCTCTTTTTATGTTTCTCTTTGATCTGGAGCTTTGGAGTTTGGACTTGACATGGTATTTTGTGCTTCCCTTTATTGGAGGCTCTTATATACTCTCTTCACCAGGCAATAGACAAATAGTCATACAGATCATGGTTTCCTTACTACTTGCCCATGTAAAGTACTAACTTATTGCCTTTATTTAAAGTAAATGGTCTAGTTTTACTGCAAAGTTCTTCTGTAATATTTGTAATTAAGATACTTTATATTATCTCACAAGTTTTTTGTGTTTTGTGTTAGTTACCAAAAAGCATCAAGTATTTAATGGTTACATTAGTTGTGAGGTATTTATGATAAATGACCTTGGAGTTGTTTGGGACTATGATTGTATAAGTGGAAAAAGCCATACACTGGACTGCCAAGGATGTCGGCTTCTAGAATGAGAAGTTCAGATGCCATATTTATGTTATCATGATCTGGTGATTTTCAACATGTGTATAGAGAGGACGATTTTTTAAAGCGAAAATATACAGTTCGAAATTGGATCATGTAATAATCAGTTGGACAAGAAGCAATTGCTCATGTATCCAATACCCAGACTCCTGAACTTAAGAGCGCCAAGAAACATTACTACCTATTACTTTTGAAACGTTTGGAACCTTTACACAACATAGGGACCAAGAAATACTCATATTCTGAAGAGTACGAGAGATTTGCATCGTTATTCTGGCTTGAGTTGTTGACCTTCATGGCATTAGTTGATTTGACATCATAAGGGAGGTCCCCTGGCGAGTGATTCTCACGAATTTGTTTTTCACATTTGATGTTAAAAAACATTAAAAAGAGATGGAGTCAAATCCAGGGTGGAGGCGCAACTCCTATTATGCTATTGGGTCTGTTGTTATTCAATAGACCAAATTCAGTAGTAGCCATTCACACCTCGATTTTGCGCTTCCTAACATTTTAAGATCGATATCATACTTTAGTCATGGTGAAATTGACACCTCATTAAGAAACTTCTTTTGTTTTATGATGTCATTAACATCATGACAGAAAAATTCCTTTTTACTGAGTCGACATATTTTCTATCTTAAATTATTTAAAGAAAATTTAAATGAGTTGTTTTAAGAAGACCCCCCACACTCTTACTTCATGCTACGTGATTGATGTGTTATGGAGACTAAGAAGGTAACTATCTCTAGGTATTGAGCTGGTAAAAACAGGACGTTATAGTAGAAAAGTTAAGGAGAATCTTATAGGAAAAATCTTGTATATAATTCGAATTTTTATGAAATTATTTAAATTGTTGAATAGTTGCGTAGAAACTCCACCTATGTGAGTTATGCAATACATTGCCGGTCCCAAACCCGGATAAACAAGGAGTCGAAGAGGGCTGTAGTAGGTTGAGGACTACTTTAAACAATCAAATATGATGAAGGTGTGTATAGAGTGGAGTTGATATATAGGATTCATTCACCAAATGGAGAGATTTAAAGTATCAGATTACCTGAATCTTTACCAAGTAAAAATAATTGAGTTTGGAAAGGCCAAGGGTGCAATTGTGTAATACCAAAATGCTTACTTCCATGTGTTTGACTGCATTAGTGGTGGAGACAATATAAATACAGTCATCACTAGTATCTGAGGAGATTCAGCAGGTGTATGTGACCTTCTGAGTCCATCTTTTTCTCTTTTTCGATTTTTATAGTATTTGTGTTGCGCAGAGAAGAGATCGCGGTAAAAATGTTTGCATCTAATCATCAAAAAAAGAAAAAACAAGATCGAGGTAAAAGCGTTGATACCTGAAAATATCTGATCTTAGAGTTTCGTTATCCTTCTATACATAATCAAAGATTGTATATCTTTTTTTCCTGATAAAGTCAACTTTAACTCTTTGAGGGGGGGGGGGGGGGGGGGGGGGGTTTACAATTCTCAAACCTTTTGTTTAGTCAGTATTTGTTTTGATTGATAGGTGATTGTATATAGGAAGAATGTATTTGTTGATGCTTGTTGATCTTAAGAATTTCTAACCTTTCTTTCTATTACTCTAAGTAACTACTTTGAACTTTCCTAGGCCCTCCTGTTCTTTCTGGAGCTAATTGGAACTAGTACCTCTTTTTCTTTCTTGATAGATAGCACTAGTACATCTTTTTGAGTGGGTTTTGGCCAACAAAAAATAGATATCATCCTTACTCTAATGTGCAAGGGCCCAGTTTGACCTCTTTTCGACTTCCACCCTGAAGGAGAAAGGGGCTAAATGCAAGGAAATAATCCTTTCCTGGAGGCCGCGCTTCCCTCAGGGAAGAGGGAGAAGGGCGATTGGCCTCTAGTAGGGCTGTGGCGGCAAGGGAGAATTAATTTTTTTTTTTAAAAGATATGCAATGGCGATGTTTTATTTAAGTAAATGATGAGGTCACACTTTGTCTGTTTGTGAGCTTGGTGCTGTCTGGTTGTGATCTGTTGCATTTCCAAATAGGGTAGAATCTTTAGTAGACCTAGTCGATATGAGTCTGCCCTGTGCTTGTTACACCATTTCTGTATTTTACTTGAATGGTAAATTTTTTCTCATTTTTGTCTTTTGCTTCCCCTTTCCATTTCTCTTTATGCATCTATATGTGATCCTTAATATCTTGCATGTTTGGTAATCTTATCAATATTGAAGATTCGGATTGCATAGTCTTGCTCTGTGTGCTTTCCTTTTCAATTGGTATATATGTTCTGTGTTATGCTTGATATTCTTGTACTAAGTATGGCCCTAATTCAATACTACTCGACTTTAGAGTAGATTTTCTTTAAGGAAATGTAGGTTAGTCGGCTGAACTTTGTTAAATTAATGTCCTTTAGTTATAGCTACTTGTCTTGCTTGAATGTCGTTGAGGGCAGGAGAGTTTTCCATTTATATTCCTTGTTTCAGCTAATGCAAAGATAGGGAAGGATTATATTACACCTGATACATGATCAATCCCATAGATGCCTGTGGAATAGTAGGCCTTGAACGCTCTTGTTTTTAGCTGAATTCCTAGTAAATTGCTGGGTCATATGCAAAGTTGCTATTTGGTTTCTGAGTTGTGAGATGCTGGGTACAGTCAAATCTCTGCTTAAAGAATGCTTGCCTAATAGTTATAAATTATTTTCTTTCTTGATTTAATCCGTTTTACTTTTGGTAAATTTGACTTCCCTTCTCTTGCAGCTACCCTGACAAGTGAAACGAGAAATTCTTTAATGGCTGGTTTACCTAATAGGGAGAGCCACATAGCTGATGAGGTCTCAAATATGTTGAACTATTTTTTGAGATTAGTTTCAACTTTTTAAACTACATTTAATGAAGGGAAAAATATCTATTGCAGGGCGAGCTTCCTAGAAAATTGAAAGCCAGAAAATCAAATATTTTCTGGTCAGGTACTGCTTGGACCTGCTCCCAGCAACTTAAGCATTATCCATCTTTTCGCAGGAATGGGACTAAAATAGCTGTAAGCACTTTGTAGCATTAAATTAGTTCCTTGACCTTATATTTCCGTTCCTTCCTCCTTTAATCTCTTAGTTTTCTGCAGGTTAATTCCTTTGCGAAAGTCATGGCTGAAGAAGAAAATCACTACCTTGGTTACTTGGAAGATTTATACGAGAACAAGAAGGGGCAGAAAAAAGCTAAGGTGCAGTGGTTTCACCATATTCAGAAAGTCCGATGTGTAATTCCTCAGCTTGAGGGACACCCTAGAGAAGTATTTATCACATCTCATGTTCAGGTGATCAATGCGGAGTGTATTGATGGCCCTGCTGCAGTTTTGACTCCCAGAGATTATGAGAAATATATCTCTCTTGTCCCAAAAAGCTCGTCTTCTGGTGTCTACATGTGCTTTAGGGAATTCAGACACAACAAGGTCATGCCAGTCTCTCTGAGTAAATTGGATGGCTACTATAGTCAAACGATATTTACTATGTTACGCAGTCAACAAGTTTCCCAGCATAAGTCAAAGGGTCATAAGTTGCATGAAGTAAAACATATAGCCCATGAAGATCCTTTAGAGCGAGGGCCAAGGAGGAGTACAAGTGTCAAGGAGTATCTGAAACTGCAGAGCGACCATTCTGGTATCAGAAAGTCAATTCCCGGGAACCAGATAGCAAAAGCTGAACCAACTTGCCAAAAGTTGAAAATAAAATTGTCAAGCAGAGGACCAGTTGGAATTCAGCTAGTTCGGCCCAAGGTCCAATATAAGCTGTCTTTTGAAGTTGGTGACAACATAGAGTTTCTTTGTCAGGATAGTGGCATGAGAGGCTGCTGGTTCAGGTGTAAGGTCTTACAGGTATTACATAAACGTCTGAAAGTTCAGTATGATGACATTCAGGACTGTGACGGTCCAGGAAAGCTAGAGGTACTGTAATCACTGCAACTATAACTTCAGTTTATATGCAGTAATATTTGTAACTGGAACTGGGAGAACATATACAAAAAGGAGAAAATTTGAATCTGTTCTACTACTTGCATTTATGTCAAAAATATGTATTGACTTGTCCTTCACTCTGTTTCTGATCACCTTTGCTTGATTTATAGGAATGGGTTCCCTCCTCCAGAGTTGCAGACACTGATAAATTGGGCATGAGATGCACAGGACGCCTCACAGTCCGGCCCCGGCCTCTGGAGGATTCATCTGATCTTTCTTTTGAAGTAGGAGCTGCAGTTGATGCTTGGTGGTGTGATGGGTGGTGGGAAGGTGTTGTTGCTGGAATTGATGTTTGTGGAAGTGGTCATCTTCAGGTTTACTTCCCTGGTAAGGTTCATGCTGTCATGAGACTGACCCCCCCCCCCCCCCTCTTACTGATTAAGATATAACAGTCCCAAAGAGCACCAAAAAAAAAACTAAGAAGTCAAAATAGAAATAGAGAACAAGAATAAAAGGTGAATTCTCGCTTATTGGTTGACGCGGCATAGCATCTTCTAAGGAACTAACTCAACAGCCTATGGATGTAACATTGGAGTTTCCAATTACTTCAAATCTGACTTGAAATCATAGGTCTAACTAAGCTCAGCATTGTCATCTAACATAGGAGTGGAAAAAGCTCAAAAAGTAGGCCTAGCTTCTGGCTAATTTGTTGTCGGAATTTTGGATGTTCAAATGTTTGTCATTGCTTGACGCCACAAAGTGTTTTTTCCCTTCAATAACAGGCGAGAACAGATTCTTGGAGCTTCAAATGAAGAATGTGAGGGCTTCAAGAGATTGGATAGATAACAAATGGATTGAAGTTAAGCGAAAGACAGACATAAACTCATTCATAAGCTCAAGTTTAACTGAGGTATCCAAGTGCAGTATCAAAGTAGAGTCGACGTCTAAACACTCAATGGAGAAGCAAGATAGCAATGTGGCTCCTAAACTGAAAAGGCGATGGCGTAATGATTATCTTGAAGGTAAGAAGAACTGATTTCAGACATGCTGCAGGTGATAACTATGGCGTCCAGGAGTCAATTTTGTGATAGTTTTGACAACCTCTACTAATGGTGAAGCAATAGAAGCAAGAAGAGAGTGACAAATTAATGCTTTTTTGGCACTGTGGGTAAATTTTTTTGACTTGTAAGTAACTCTCAACGGTGCCCCATTTTGCTTTTTTTTTTTTTTTTTTTTTTTTTTTGTAAATATATAGGCCTTGATATAAAAAGAAGAATTTACCCAAATAGCCGCCCACCCTACCTCTTAAAGTAAAAATAGTCGGTGAATGTATAATATATGCATAATTTATGTATTACATGTGTATAATTGTGTATAATCGATGTATATGGCTAGAAAAAGTAAACAATTTAATATGACCGACTATTTGTGTAAAAATCCCTTATTCCTTTCCGTACTACGGAAAGGAAGGCTTTATAGAACTTAGGGACTATAGGCAAGCAATCTCCTTGCCTTAATGCAGTCAGACCTCGATAACAACATCAGTGCATCACTATATAACAGTCATTCACTATAAAAGCTAAGCTTTTTATGGAACCGATTCCCATGCTATGATTGTTATAATATACGTTCTCTATAATAACATTTCGCTATTTGAGCAAACAATATCTGTATCCATTGAACACCACATACTCTTGTATTATGCACTCTCGGAGTGTTTATGTAGACCAAGTTTATATTCTTTTATTTTCCCACGTATGTCTTAAAAAAAATTGTTGGTAAAAGTCTATAACTTTAGTTTGTACTACTATAGCTCAGAACTCTTTAAAACATGGTTATTGTTATATCGTGTCTAACAAACACGAGTAATTATTTATGATAAGGTACTAAGACGATACCAACTTATGTCAAAGACAATTAAATAACACTAGTATCTATATATTTAATAATGAATGAAAACAAAATCCTTTATGTCAAAACGAATCAGTAAGCTCAATCGAGTAATTTGAGCAAAAAGGACATTGTCACGCAATTTAGATATGATGTGGTGTGAGTAACTAAACAATAATATATATATATATATATATATATATATATATATATATATATATATATATATA